AGGAGGCTCGGAAAAAATGTCGGTAGCTAGGTAGCCGTTGGCTTAGGGTAGTTTGGTGGGACCTTGAAGATCACCCTGAAGGCTTCATTGGGGTCCACCTGATGTCCGGAATCCACCATGTGCACTAGAATAGCGCTGTTTATCATTTTATTATTTGTCCTTAATTGTGATACGTATGTCACTTTGTCGACACTTCCTGTTTCTGTACCTGATTTTTCTACCCAGTACGCAATAAAATGTCGACTATCACACAAATTCGTGGTACATTGAGGGAGAGTGGTCCATCAGGAAGTGAGGGGGAGGATGACCTAGACTCCGATCTTCAAATACTCGAGCCCGTAACACTCCTCACCCGAGAAGAGATGGAGTCTCTGCTACAACCAATGCGAAAGAAGTTGGGCGATGATCATGAAACCTGTCTCCTCATTACCAATGCCCTAAATCATGATGAGGATGGTGTGCGCAAATTTTGCAAATTTGTGTCCGACGGACGCCTGAGGGAGAGCTTTCTGGCCACGATTGTGTCGGTAGAGTGGGTGTTTTATTTCCTGGCTGCGGTCAATGGCTCTGCTCGGACCTTGATGGGCCTTTTGGATACTCTGGCCGACAAGAGTGAGGCCAATAGAACGAATGCCCAGGCAGTTGTTAAACTGCTAACCGGGCAGCTGGGCGAAGGACCCTATCTTAAACCCTTTTACAATGCTTTCATGCAGTGTCGAGCAGCTGTCGTCAGCTTTTGCGTGAAAAGGGGAGGCAATCAGGCGGAGATTGAGGCTGTCTTCAGAGAATGCCTCTGCGACATGGATGACGAGTATGAGAGGATGGGTGAGATGCTTGGTCTTACGGATGAAGAGGTACGAAAGTTGACCTTCCTGACTACAAGTTGTCAAATGGACGCATTAACGCAGTACTGCAGCTCACTTCCGGGACGAGATAGAGGAGGAGAGGCGTCGGTAAGACTTTTGAACTAATGAGTATAAATTCATCATTTTGCAGACCTTTTTCCACAGTCCCTCGAACAGCAGCTGAAATAAAACCAGCAGCGGCGAAGGACGTATCATTAGCCTGATACCGAACCATTAGCTTGGTTTATTTTCAGACTGCTTACAGTAAGCCAGCAAAGTACTGGACACGATTCTATACAGGGTCTTTCTGTCAGCTAATTAAGGCTTCCGCAACCTCAATTTTGTAGTCCACCCTAAACGGATCACCAGAAAACAAACTTACTGGTGGACTTATAGGGATTAAGGCTACGAAAGTTAACCCTAACACTTACGATCTTCCAGGCCCAAGGTTCCTTTAGGTGAGGAGGGAAGTCTTCAGAAGGCCAGACTGTTAGGAATAGTGTATTCTGCAGAAGGATAGGAGAATAGA